AATTTGTCCCCGTAATTGCCAGGGCTGAGTAAATCTGCTGTGAAAAGTGACATGTGTGTGTTTGTTAATATCACTTTTCACAGCAGACTTAGTAGCTAGCAAGTCTTTAATAAAATAAAAAGGCAACCAAAAAAGCAAAAGAAACAATAAGAAAAAAAGACAAGAATGTGCAAAATGTGTTTCTATTCTGTTTAGGTCCAGTAAAAAATAGAGACAACTGTACATTGCTTTTATTATTGAGTCTGCAAAAAAAAATCCCACATAAATAAATTACAATGATTTGGACATGCATCTGTGCATATTTATTTGTTTTTCCTAAAGTTAATTAAGTATTTTAGGAAAAATTGTCAGAGCGGGCACCAGCAAGAGTTGGTGACCGCAGTCTGAGGCCACCAAAATTTGTTGCAAGAACCCCTGCATCAGATTTCTCTCACAGTTTTACTTCCCCCCCCCCCCCACCCACTATTCCTGGTTAGTCTATTTGTTTTTAGTTGGGTGTGAAGTGGGGGATTGATAGAAGGGTCAGGTCTCTGAAGAGATTTCCCAGAAGTAGAGTTTGTACATTACAAGTTGTAGGTTTGAGGACGGTTTGTTTACAAATAAGAACAGTACGTATGTAATAAACACATATGTAATAAACAAATAATCATTGCCCAATATCTAAATATTTCCACGACATTACAAATTAAACCTCTCTCAACTTGCCAGGCCCCAGTGGATTTCTGAAGACTGGATGCTACATTGTTTAAGTAAACCCAGGATGATCATGACAAGCTGCATTTTAGGATATGCTTCACGCTGTAAAGCACAAACCCTTGCAAAGACAACGAAAAAAAATAAGTAACCTCAAGTCAGGTTGGTCCTGTTCTTTCACTAATATAAGCTGTCTGCAAGTAGGGAGACCACACACTTCATCTTACCTTGGGGTGCATCGTTTTGAATAAAGGGCAAGAAGAAAAAAAACAAATAGTTTTCATAGCCATAAACAAGTTGAATATGGTTGAAATGCACCGTGAAGAACATTCTTCTTGTGTTACGCATCCAAGGGGACATCACTGTTTGGTTTTAAAACAAAAACAGCAACATTTCTTGTAATAAAGGTTCTTTTTTTGCAATATTTTCCCACACATGCGCTGATTGAAGAACAGCTTAGACTAGAGAATTCTGTTTCTTTAGTAACGACACTTCCAGTCTTAGTCCAAAATCACACCAATCATTCTTATATGAATAGCACATTAACGGTTTAAATATGAATGACTAGTCATTCTAAGAATCAAAGACATTACTAACATGAAAAAATGGGTCTTTGATTTATACATTACACTTCACCCCTCCACCCCCAAAACAGCAATTATTTTAAGGCTTGTCTCCATAATAGTCATTTTAAAACTGCATATAAAAAGGAAATTATAGTATATCACAGATTCAAGTAAAGATTTTAAGAGAAGTGGCATGCTTCTTTTTGAACCTATAAAGTTAAACAGATTCTTAATATTACCAATAATGCTCTAGCCAATTATTCATTTTTTAATGCAGTGAGGCCACACTTGAAAAATTCTAGTCTTTGGTTTCCTGCTGATCTCATTGAACATGTATTCAAGATTCCTGTGTAGCCAAGTCAACAAAAATCAAATAATTGGGTTGGAAGCCTGGGAATAGTTTTCATTATATTTGTAACATTCATTGCCTGTGTGTTGCACAGAACATTTCCTATATCACCTGCTTTCCAGGAAATGTATACCAGGGTTTGTGGAGAAGCTACTGCAAAATACACATACAAAACTGGCAGTCAGTTGCTATACCGTAAGTTTCTCATATAGTGCACTGACTGGTGATGTCAGTGTGGGCAGTGTAGGATTTTACTGAGACTTCTGTGCATTAGTTAGCAGAAGTTGAAGATGTGGCCGGCTATCCTGGGAGATTCTTTTTTATATATTATTAAAAAAAAAAAACTACTTTCTGTATCCAGTCTACTATGCGTAGTATTTCTGCTTGTAAATTAAGGCTAGATCCTGCATTCCTAATTCAAGAGCTATTCCTATCACTATTAACTGGAGTTACCCCCACGTAATGATGGTGCAATCAGGCCTCTCATTTTCAAACTGATTCACATCGGATCTGGATCAGAATCTAACAGATTAAAAAAATCCCTGAGTTGTCACTTACTTGCATTTGTGCTAGAGGATGTATGAAAAAAGGATAAAGTAACAACATAACCAACTTTAAAAAAAAAAAGCACCACAAATAGGGGTTATGTCCATAAAAAAATTCTATGAAGGGTTATAACACCAAGGAAAGATGTAAATTTAACACATACTCCTCAATGCCATTAACTGAGAACCAGTGCTTTCTCTTCATCCTCCCTGGAAAAATAAAAAGGAGGATGCAGTACACATTGGCCCATCAGAAAAGAGAGCACAGATGTGCATTCTCAGGCGTGTTCACAATTGTCCTGAACAAGCAGCCATTTTCCTACATGATTACCAGTTTCTAAGACAAAGTGCAAGGCAGACGGTTCCATGTGAGCGCTTAGAAATGGGAGGAACAATCAAAGACACCACTGCATAAAAACGTTTCTCCACGGCACTTCCAAAATGGCACTCTTCATCATGCTCTTTGGAAGAGATCTACTCCACTCAACTTTTACAGGTATGAGGTCTAATCTTGTATAGGATATTTTTGTGTTTTCCCTGAATGCTGTGGAGGTGCCTCACATCCTGTGACTTGGAAATGGTTATGAACCTTTCTGAGTCCAACAAGCTACCTTCCCCGGCTGCAATTTAAACAGCAGCGAATCACCTTCAAAGCAAAACACCTACCTGCTCTTAAAACAACTGTCTAACATTTTTAACTACCTCTGGATGTTTTCATCTTTCAGTTTGGTCTCCATTTCCTTGTTACAGATTAGGTTATCTCCCATGAGGTGGTCACTCCTGGGGGCTCACTTTCAGCAGCAGAAGGGAGGAGGCAATGTAAAGGAAGTGTTCTGTAACTTAACCACTAGACATTGGTGCACAGGAAAGGAACTTTATTACCACTGTCTGTTCCCCATCCACGGACCCTTCTTGGTGCCAAGAGCACCTGAAGTAGGAGTGAGCTATGAGACTAAAGGAGATGACAGGATCCATTAGATTTTAAAACAACCATTGTTACATTGTCTGCCCACAGAAACAGCACCAGTAGGCCCATTGGTGAGTACCGGCTGCATATCGGACACTGAAAGACATCTCCAACTCCAGTAGCCTCCCCTTCCCCCCTCCTCACATGAATCCTCTATGTACCACTCTTTTGTCATTCCATCATTATAAATGCCCTCCAGCCCTGTCAGTTCCTCTCCGGCTATGCAACTGGTGAACGTGGTCCAAAGAGGACATTAAAGATTCCACACACAACAAATAAATGTACCAGCTGTAGAAGGCTAAGCTGGGACACTCTCTATGCTTCCTTCTCCTACTCCCATTGAGAACAGATAGACCAGCAGCAGCATGAAGGATAGAACCATCTATAACAAAGCGGAGGAGACAAGGTATCAACAGAATTTAAAGCTGTCAGACTAAAATGTCTCTTTAGTTTTAAAGCAGGGGTTCTCAAACTGGGGTCAAGACCCCTCAGGGGGTCGCAAGCTATCAACCTCCACCCCAAACCCCGCTTTGCCTCCAGCATTTATAATGGTGTTAAATATAAATTAAAAACACTTAAATATAAGGGGAGGGGGTTTCGCACTCAGAGGCTTGCTATGTGAAAGGGGTCACCCGTAAAAAAGTTTGAGAGCCACTGTTTTAAAGGAAGCTCACAAACTTTGAAAATGAAGTCAGGGAAAATAACCATGCTGACTCCAGAACCAAATGGAATCTTTAGATAATCCTGGCATATTCTGCTGAGTATTTTTGTCCCATATTTGCATAATTCTGAAGAGGCTCACCTGTATCACACCCCTAAAGATTGGCCCAAATACTCAGGCCCTCAGATTATACTGAGGGCCATGTAACTAGCAAGACAGACAGGGCTTTGTATGCAAGTGCCCTAGCTAGCAAGACTATGAGTCTACACTTGTACATAATAGCACCACATTAGCTGATATCCTTTAAACTATGCAGCTGAGCAAACAGGCCCCAGTCTAGATTTGAGACGTTCCTACCAAATTCTGTATTTAATTAAAAATTCTGAATTTAGTATAGTCTCCCACCCCACTCCTATCCAATCAGGAGCTTATATACCGTATTTACAAGTATGACAAAGTACCACTATGCAGTGGCCCATAGCTAATTTACTTTAAAAGGGACATTAACATTTTTAAGGAAAAACACCCCCAAACAATCTGACTTGAGAATAATCCAATCTGAAGTTTTTCTTTTTGTATTCTTAGCATGTATCATTTATATAACTAATCCAACCCCTCACAAAACATTTCTAACAAAAATACCAGTGAACATCTTTATTAACTTAAAGCCAGTGCATGAACGTGATCTCTTGCCAAAAGGTTAAGAAAACACTTCCACACTGCCAGGTAGAGATTGATATTTTGAAGCTGCAGTGTGAAAAAATAAGTTCCTGTCTCCAAAACACATGAGATAGGTTAAGAAAACCTACAGCACAGATGGAATATTCTTCTCAGCATGCTAAGCCAGCTCAAACTTCACAAGCCACAAAATGACAGTAATAAGACATTACTACTGTATATAACAAAGCCAATAGGGGAATCACCACCCATTATTACCTGTGGGTGTCAGTGTGGTAAGCCAGAAAAATTGAGAACAATGAGGGAATGGAAGCAGAAAAAAATAGATTACAAGGCTAGTGTCTCCTTAATCAACTAAAAGATCATCTTGAGTGAAATATACATTTTTCTTAAAAGACCAGAGATATTTCAGATTGTAACATGTATTTCATATAAAGTTAGCTTTTGGCTCTGGAAAACAACCATTAGTCTATAAAAGCAATGCAATCTGCAAAAGAATGACATGCACCTTCCCTAAAGGGGAAATTTACACAGATCTCACCTTGTCACTGTCATCATTACAAATGTGGTCTTGATGGATTGACTGGCATTGGAAGGAAGCACCAGTACTACCTACAAGAGAAAAGGGGAGGGGGGACAAAGGAAAAAAAATAATTAGAATTGGAAACCCAATCCCTGGGAATACTAAAAATAAATACAGACAAGTGTAGGAGCCAGAAATTTTTTCACACAGCAGAGAGATTTAGCTGCCAAACATCTATGTCAGACAGCTCTTGTATTTAATTCTGATGATGGGATAAGCAGCAGAGACATTTTTCACTATGTGCCAGAGATATCTTCTCCAAGACTTTTTTAAACATTTAAAACAGAACAAAATTAGTACTTGTTCATTAATCCAAAACAAACATATGCTATAAAGCAGCAAAATACACACGCCAAACATAAGTCAAGAACAGCTACACACATAGCGTTAAGGTAGTGTCCCCCACTACTAGGTAACCCAGTTAACAACACAATGGGTAGTTAACCCTTTGGGGAAGAGATATACTACTTCCTTTTGTTAAGACAAAACAGACTAACTAGGACCAAGAGGCAGAGAGAATCCTCATTTTGTTGATAATATTCTTGTTGAGGCTGGAATTTCCCCTCTCAAAAGCTTTGAGCAAGTCTTTCCTACCCATGTTCTTGTATGTGGCAGGCTATGGTGCAGATCAACCCTGGCAAGGGCTTAATAGTGCAAGACCACAAGACTTGTTTATGAGATGGATGGCAGCTACTGGTTCACCCTAATACGCCTTTATGTGCATAAAAAAAACCCTTAAATCCTTTTACAGTACAAGCTACGTTTTGTAAAGTCTTATTTATGTCATGCATTTGTTTCCTCCCTGAAAGGGACACAGTAACATCCCCACTAAAGCAATCTGGCCTAGCAAATTGAGAGAAGAGACTCTGCTGATGTTCCCTTTTTATTTGTTGGAGTTTAACAAAGCCAAATTAAAATATGCAACACAGTGGCTGACAACATGCAAACCCAATTTTATTTTAAACATTGCTCTAACTTACGAGCCCACAAGCACATATTCATTTTGCAAATACAAATGAAGGTTGTCAGTTACCCTCTTAGCAAACCAAGGGTAACTCTTTCCCTTCCACTCTCTTCTATACCATCCCTAGAGTGACATCATTCTAGTATGCCTTACCCAGTCATTTATTTATTTAAGGTAAAAGGATTTTATTCCATCAGAACATACCATATTACGGTGCCAAAATATTATCTTTTTGATCACTGACCTAGGATAAAAGTTTGGTCAAGTTTACTAGTCCCAAAATAATTTGTTCTGGTCCAGGTAAGTGTTTTATTTCTCATATAGGTTATGACACATAAACCCATTCGGATTACCGCCTTGACTTTTCCTCCTGTCATCTTCAATTCCAACATGATTTTAGCAGCAGTTCTCAGGAATTGCTGGTGTTAAGAGATACATGCTTTATACCACTGGAAAACTGGGACTCTCAGCTACACTGGGATGGCACAGATGATTGGTTTTTACTTTTTAGCAGTTGCAGTCTGAAGAACTGCGGAGTCATGTTATAAACAAAGTAGGCAAAAACCCAAGCTGGTAACCAGAATTATTAGAGGCCTGAAACAGTTATCAACTAACATGCAAATGAATACATGTACTGAGCCTGCATGTCATGTAACAATGGACAAAAATTGCTTTTCCCCAACACGGAGCAAGAAATGTTATTAAATTACAGAAAAATCTCATCTGTAAGCTACGTTGTCTCTGTTTCCTGCCCAGAACCTCTGCCCAGAACTTCTTTCAGCCCCTCTTCTTTCTCTTTTCCTGCTGTAGTTTTGAAGGACAGTGCACAGATTCCCACTTTGAAAGACTCCTCCAAGCTATAAGCCACTTCACAACCATAGTGTTTAATAGAGGTTTGAAGTCTACCCTCTGCTCCAGCCATAAGACAACCCCTCTGAAAGCTTGTAAGCCTGCTTAACAAATACAGGAAGGTAGGCAGAAGCGACTGCTACTGCAAGACCTCTCTAAACACCTCTCCTGTTATCCCTTTTTCAGAATAACCATCTTATTTTTGTGTGTATCACTCTTCATTACCGTAACGATTTTACTTACTTTTGCTTAAGCATATACAGTATTTAATTGCATTCAAGAGAGTTTTCACATTACATTAAGAAAAACAAGAAATTTCCATGAAGAGGAAAAAGCAGACAGAAGACGAGTTAGTCCCCTCTCCCACTCCTTCACCCACACTCTAAAACAAAGCAGAATATGTTCTTGTAGCTTATGCTGCTGTGCACCCAGAATATATAATGGTCTGTATTTCCACAGCAATTGCTACTGCTATTATGCCACAGGAATTTTAATGACTTGGGGTTTTTTAGGTTTCCTTTTTTACTGTTTTTACATATTCTCCTTTTCTTATGATCTAGCAAAGAGTATGGAAAAAGCAGAGTGGTATTATATAGCCATTACCCTAACTGTGGGTGAAAACAGTTGAGCCCTACCCAGTACTTGGCCTGTGGATGTTGTTCATTGATGGAACACGGCCAATTGGCATCGTTTTAGGCTTGAATCACACCACTTTCAGACTATCCAACTTTACCACAGCTACTGGGAAACAGTTCATGTCATGGCTGCATAGAAATACTGGCCCGGGGATTTCCAAGTTTCATACAATTTCCAGTTTTGCTGTCCAGAGGATTAAAGTTTCACATGCTGGCTGAATTCAATTAATCTAGACAAACTTCAAAGTATGTTTCCTCACCACCTAAAACACTCTTTTCTTCTAACAAGTGTTCTTATACCACCACCACAAAACAAAATCTAACATTCTTGCAAGAAACCAAACTACATCCACAAGAAAATTCTGCTAACATGCCAATCTCACCTTATTTATAGAAATAAAGTAGCCTGACTGTGTTCTGAAAAGTATTGTTAAACATTTGTCCAAAAATGTCATATGCTTATAATTTCTCTTTTCCACATTTGTGTTTTTGTTCTCTTTTAAAATTGACATATTTCTTAACACTGTGCATCAAAAGCTATACAGTAAACTTTAAATACACTCAGTAGAACAGCAGCAGAACTACTCTTAATGCATTATGTACACAAATATCTTTTTAAAAGGTGCTGTAAAGCAGGCAAGCTCCAGGTCTGTACTCAGTTCTTAAGTCTAGAAGGCAATTTACTTAGCTTCATTTTTATACTCAAGTAGGGCTGTCAATTAATCGCAGTTAAGTCACACGACTAACTCAAAAAAATTAATTGCGATTAAAAAATTAATTGCAATGAATCACACTTGTAACAATAAATTGAAATTTATTAAATATTTTTGGATGTTTTTCTCCATTTTCAATATTTATTTCAATTACAACACAGAATACAAAGTGCACAGTGCTCACTTAATATTTTTGATTACAAATACATGTACTGTAAAAATGATAAACAAAAGAAATAGTATTTTTCAATTTACCTCATACAAATACTGAAGTGCAATCTCTAACATGAAAGTGTAACTTACAAATGCAGATTTTTTTTTGGTGACATAACTGCACTCAAAAACAAAGCAGTGTAAAACTTTAGAACCTACAAGTCCACTAAGTCCTACTTCTTATTCTGCCAATTGCTAAGACAAGTTTGTTTACATTGACGGGAGATGCTGCTGCCTGCTTCTTATTTACAATGTCACCTGAAAGTGAGAACAGGCGTTTGCATGGCACTGTTGTAGCCGGCGTTGCAAGGTATTTACATGCCAGATATGCTAAACATTCGTATGCCCCTTCATGCTTCGGCCACCATTCCAGAAGACACGCTTCCATGCTGATGATGCTCGTTAAAAAAATAATGTGTCAATTAAGTTTGTGACTGTACTCTTTGGGGGGGGGGAGAACTGTATGCCTCCTGCACTGTTTTACCCACATTCTGCATATATTTCATGTTATAGCAGTCTTGGATGATGACCCAGCACATGTTCATTTTAAGAACACTTTCACAGCAGATTTGACAAAACTCAAAGAAGGTGAGATTTCTAAAAATAGTTACAGCAATCGACGCAAGGTTTAAGAATCTGAAGTGCCGTCCAAAATCTGAGAGGGACGAGGTGTGGAGCATGCTTTCAGAAGTCCTAAAAGAGCAACACTCTGATGCGGAAACTACAGAACCCGGACCACCAAAAAGGAAAATCAACCTTCTGCTGGTGGCATCTGACTCAGATGATGAAAATGAACATGCGTCAATCCACACTGCTTTGGAATGTTATCAAGCAGAACCCATCATCAGCATGGAAGCATGTCCTCTGGAATGGTGGTTGAAGCATGAAGGGACATGTGAATCTTTAGTGCATCTGGCACATAAATATCTTGCGACGCCGGCTACAACAGTGCCACGCAAACACCTGTTCTCACTTTCAGGTGACATTATAAACAAGAAGCAGGAAGCATTATCTCCTGCAAATTGTAACCAACCTTGTTTGTCTGAGTGATTGGCTGATCAAGAAGTAGGACTGCATGGACTTGTAGGCTCTAAAGTTTTACATTGTTTTAATTTTGAATGCAGGTTTTTTTTTTTTGGTACATAATTCTACATTTGTAAAATCAACTTTCATTATAAAGACATTGCACTACAGTACTTGTATGAGGTGAGTTGAAATTGAATTCCTTTTGTTTATCATTTTATAGCATATATATTTGTAATCAAAAATAAATATAAAGTGAGCATATATAAAATATAAAGTAAACTTTGTATTCTGTGTTGTAACTGAAAGTAATATATTTGAAAATGTAGTAAACATCCAAAAATTATTTAAAATAAATGGTATTCTATTATTTTTTAATCACCTGACAGCCCTATACTCAAGTGAAAATTAAGACCCTGATTTGGCTACTTGATCCAAGCTGATAGCCTCTTATATCTCAGCAAATCCAGTTGCAGGATCAAGGCCTGAGTTTGTTGGTATGAAATTTTACTTTGCTAATGAATGTTATTTTATTCAGGGGTCTTGAGCATCCGAATGAGTTACAAAGATCTCACCTGAAAATATCATCATCTCTTAATTTTCAAATAAAAAAAATGTAGCACGTGTACACA